TTTAAACATGAGGCAGTTCATCCAGTATTTCTTGTTTAACCCACATTTACTTGTCTTCATAATTTAATATTAGTTCATAGTTTAAAATATATTTTTCAATTTTTTTAAAAGAATATAGAGTTTTGAGACTATTTTTAAACACGTTTTTTTCAGGAATAAACATTCTTGAATATATTCTTCAAAATGATATATTCTTAATACAATTCTTTAATATATTCTGTATTATGCTTGTATATCCTAAGTACAGGGTGTTCATAATAAAGAAAGATATAACTGGGAAATTGATGAGCAGAATGACATAATATTTCACACGGAGACTTCTGTGGTGATGGAATTTTATTTGAAAACAAAAATAAGTTAGTTACAAAAATGCCCGTTAGGGCGGTAATTGGCGCTGCCATACAGTAGTAGATAACTCAAAATGTCTCAAAACTTACGATGCACACGGTACACTGTATCGTTATGCAACAGCATGCTCGATATACTGGCTTTCAGAACTGAGTGCTGTGGTTGAACGTGCGATTTGGCGATTTCAACATGTTGCCACAATGGAGGCCAGCATATCGATCATGCTTTTGCGTAGCCACACAGCGTACCGTGTTTATCGTAAGCTTTGAGACGTTTTGACTTATTTACTACAGTATCGCAGCGCCACTTACCGCCCTAGCGGACATTTTTAAACTAACTTTGTTTTCAAATAAAATTCTATCATCACGTAAGTCTTCGTGTGAAATATAACACATTCGCTGATTAGTTTCCCAGTTATATCTTTTTAAAATGTGAACTTTAATTATGAACACCTTGTATAGCCTATATCCTTGAAAGGGTATTCTTGTATGTATTTTTCTGAAGTACTTATTCCAGAACATATTTTTGAAAAACTACATTCAGTTGTTAATTTAAATAATTGTAGAAAATTTAATTAAAAATATAGAAATTAATTAAAATTATATATAAAGCAGAGCTTATTAATTTAATTTTTTTATTTACTTTTTTTGTGGCATTTGGCTCTTACTGATATATCAATTTAGTTTTATTCTTTGTTTTAATTACAATTTGAAGAATTTAGAACTCGAACATGATTAAAATTTACATATTTTTGTCACTACTTTAATAAATTATTTCATAATTTTAATCATGAATATTGTTTCCAACAACACATAAATACTCAGAACGATAATTATTAAAAAAAAAAGAATTTTAATAAAAAATAAATGTTTTTTTTTTAATATTTGAAAGTAATTTTAAGAAATTGAAAAATATTTTTTAATTTTTTTTTGAGAATGGGAAATTTTTGTTTTAGAAATCATTTCTCCTTTCCTTTATTTTAATTTTATTTTTTAATATTTTAATAAGATTTTAGCAATTTCTTTAAAATTTTTAATTCTTCTTTTTATTTTCAGTTGACATCCAACTGCCTGATATACGTATGTGTCAACATGGTTGGATTATTCGTGCATAACATTATGGAGCGTGCACAGAGGAAAGCATTTCTCGATACTAGAAATTGCATAAATGCCAGACTAGAAATGGAAGACGAAAACGAAAAATTGGTAATAATAATAATAATTCATACATTATTTATAAAAAAAATCAGCGTAAAGTCTAATTTGATCATTACTTCTCAATCTTTTTGTATATGGACATTCCATATAGGACGATAACGTGAAGTGGGATGTTAATAAACGCTCGCGAGCTACAGGTTGGAAGACGAACTCATTTAAATTTTTTTCCCGTTTTATTCAATGATGCAAAGACCAAACTGCACGCAAATATTTTTGAAGTAAATTTACTCGTTTTAATTAGTATAACTAAGTAAAAATGAAAAGGAAAATATAAATTTAACAGTTATAAATGTTCTGTCAATATATTCTTGGTCAGTTAGAATGAAACTGGTAAAGTGCAGAGTGTGGCTACAGTGTATGGAAAGTTGGTCTGAATCAATACAGAATTGGACAATTGATCCAACCGCTAGAAAACTCGAGTGTAGTAAGAAAAATACCAATATTGATTTTAAAATAAATAAAATTCGAAACTAATAAATAGACAGTTTCGGGATTGTTTTTGCTATTTTAAAATTATTTTATATATATATTTCAGTAAAAAAAAATATATATATATATAAGACTTGTTGAAAAAAAATATATATATTGAATCAAAATTGGAAAAGAATTCAATCAGTTTTCATAACAATTTTCTGTTTCTTTTCTTTCTTGCTTATAAACAACTGCGAAAAATGTGGGAAAAAATCTAAAAAAAATGTTTTTAAAAATCTAAAAAATATTTAAATTCTCTACACTTTTTTATATCGATGTTTATAGACTTTTTAAACTTAATAATATGTATATATTTTTTAATTTAAAATATTTTTATTGAAAAATATTGTCACATTGTCAATATTTCAATATTGTAAGGAAAGTTACGGAATTCACATAAAATATTTTTGAATTATTTTATTTATCTATCATTTTTTTGGTATAAAAAGTCGGTAAATTTGTATATAAAATTACATAATTTAATTTTGTAAAGAGTTCGTAATTTTTATAATAATTAAATTTATTTTATTTAAAGAAACTCTTACTTTAAAGGAAAGCAATTTTTTTAAGTGGTAAGGATATATTTTTATAAAAAAAATTTTTATTTTTTTTTAGAAAACTATCTTCAAATACTTTAATATATTCATAGGTAAACTGAATTATGAAAGTGGAACCTTTATCTTCTTATCATTTTCCATGTTATCTATTCACAATGCATAGCATCTTTGCTTGAATGATCTCTCTTTCTGCATAAAAAATTTCATCTCTCACGATTATTTTCTCAGAGATTTTTCTATCAATATAAAAATAATTGAGTATAAAATATTTTAATTGAAAAAAAATAAATAAAATAAAATACTGCTCTGCTATAAATATAAACTCACTTAATAATATAGTCAAAGAGAAATTTAATGAGACGTAATGGTGCGATAAGTGTTTGCAGAAATACTCAAAAAAATACATCCTAACCTCGAATTAACGCAACAGCTTGTTAAAGTTTAAAGTTATCACTGAATTGAAGAATTTCAAATAACAACAAACAGTCTAACCTCGATTTAAAGCTACTTTTAGTTCGCCTCTAAGAATGGCACTAAATCGAGTATGTTCGTCTCTAGGAATGGCACTAAATAGAGTATGGCGTTAAACCAGACATGGCCAACATACGGCCAGCGGGCCAGACTCGGCCCGTCTAATGAATTTATGTTGCCCGCGATCAATCTTTCAATATCAGCGATTGAAGTCGGAATAGCTCGATGAAAAATTCTGACGCCTAAAAAAAAGGTCAACAACTCACTGTGCGTTTAGAGTTAACCCTCCATTACAAATCTCGTAAGTACAGAATGTTGATAAATCATGATAATATGAAAAATGTATCTATAATCTCTATGTACAGTACAATTCAGTCTCTACGGGGTGACACCACAATGAGATCTCGCACCAACTCAAAATCTTCCTAGGGCAGCCTCTGGTTCGGCCCGTGGAAAAAGTTTTCTTTCCAATTCGGCCCGGGAGCAAAAACTGTTGGCCACCCCTGCGTTAAACTGAAAAACCTTGAACAGTGAGAATTATGTGTTATAATGAATTCTGCATATATGATCGTTTGAAAGTCACTTGAGATGGTGATTATAATGTCATTTGAGATGCAGAAGAGTACGTTTAGTATAATCGAAACTCGATGTAGTGGTCTCCAAATAGGTGCCACCCCCGTAAAGTGTCAACGAGTACAGTACTTGTAAACAGATCTGTGAATAGTAAATAAAGAATCCTTCATTATCTATGAATGACTAAGTGTACAATTTTGCATCGTTATCATATGACTTTTAAATTTAAACTCGTGGGTTCTTTATTACAGATAATTCTTATTGTTTGAAATTCTTCGTTTCAGTGCCACACTCGATAAAATGCCAATCTCAGAGTGGTGATGGTAAGTTGACTGCATTCACAATTACTGAACGGTTCTGTATTTAATATTTATGGGGATGATCCATTAAAAAGTATTTACTGGCGCTATACGATAGAAGCGCTATTTAGGGTGGCGTTATATCGAGATTTGACTGTAGATTAACTTAATAATCTTCTTGTTATTTTAACATTAGAATTATTAATGACTAGCCAATAGCATTTTTAAGAAAAATAAAATTGTTGTTTAGTTGTATCGATTGAAAAATCGTTTTATTTACTTAAGCAATTTTTTTTTTTTAAATCAAGTAAATAAATTTATTATTATTGATATTTTTCTGCTATGATATTTTAAGAATTATATTTTATTACTAAATACTGTACGTAATATACAGTATATATAATTATATAATATATGTAAATATTTAAAAAATTGTTTGTAATTTCAGTAAGTTTCTATTTGTAATTGTTACACAATTTGTGTTTTTTTTTTGTTAAAAAAACGAATAAAATGGCAAAATATTTGAATTAAACATCAGTTTTTATTCTGTTAAATTGATTTTTCTTCCACGTTTAATTTTCTTTGTGTTTCCCCCCTTTAGGAAAGATTACTTTTAAGTGTTTTACCCCAACATGTTGCCATGGAGATGAAGGAAGATATCATTTCTCCAAGAGAAGGACAATTTCATAAGATATACATCCAGAAACACGAAAATGTCAGGTAAAAAAGAAATGATAATTTTATATATTTAACGTTAATTATAATGTTTTAATATGTGTTAAAATGTTTAATTGATTTTTAAATAGGAATAAATTACAGTGGTACAGATATAGTGAACTCTCAAAGTACTGAACTAAATCATTCACAATATGAAGAGTTCAAGCAAGGATTTATAAAATTGTTTACTATATCGAGTTGTCACTATATCAAGAGTCACTGTATTAAATTCCCCATTTGATGTTACTTTCTTTAAGAAATTAGTAATTGAAATTTATGATTCGTGTCGTGTGAATCGATATCTATACTTCAATTATGTATTACTCTATGATTTATATTGGTTAATAAATAAAAATAATTAGATTAATTTGAATAAATTGTTGTACTCGTATATAACAAATATCCATTATCGTTTGAATCATTATTAGAAATGAATTTTGTAAAATTTACATTTAAATTAAGGTCAAAGTTTCTCAAATCTGTTCAAACTTCTGAAGAGAAATATGGTAATTAAAATAGTTTAAAGTCAAACAATTTTTCTCATAAAATTATTTGGTCATTGTTCTTTCTAGTTGTTTTGATTGATGAGAAATTGTCTTTAAAGACGTTTCCTAGAAGTTAGCTAATCTTCAAAACGTTTCGTGACATCTCTATGATATCCGGTCACGGTAAAATCATCCCAAATCATAAAACATCTCACTACTTTTCTTTGATTATCTAAAAAAACAAGAAAAAGAATCGAAGAACACAATAGTATTGTTAAAAGTAGTCAATATTTCTTTTATTTTCGTAATCTATCAGTGTCGTTATCGTGAAAGCAAAGCACTGATTGATGTACTCGTCTATCTTGCAACGTACTAATTATCTTCCAATATACGTTTAAAATAACTTCCATTACTAAATTAATAGGATTCCAACTCGAGATTAATAATGTATATACAGTTAGAACTCGATATAGCGACCTCTAAATAACGCTAGCCTTGTAAAACGCCAATGAATATTGTGAACGAATCTTTCCTGTAAATGTTAAATAAATCATTCAGTTACTACGTATTATGGCCGAACCTCGATTTAGCACCACCATCTGTTCGCTTTTTAGGCTGATACTAAATCGAGCATGGTGTTAATTAATTTAAACTGAATCGTACAAATGTTAACAATTCAGAGATTACTATAGGTTTTATATTTAGTATTTATGGGATCAACGGTTCACAAGTATTGGTTGGCGGTATATCGAGTTTATATTTTGCTAAATTAATGATTTTGCATCTTAAAACAGCTTTCGAACTTTGAAAATTCAAACCTGCGCGTAGACTTTAAACTTTAATTAACACAGTTAAATCTGTCCAAAGCCTCAACAAAACGGAAACGTGCCTAAACGAAAAAAATTCTTAAAATCTCAGCGATTATCTGTGTTAAAAGTACACCTGTTTAAAACGGAAACCTGCCAAACCGAAAAAACAAACAAACAATATTCGTTACCGTATAAGTCCGGTTTACACAGGTTAAAATTCTTATTGTTTTAGCTTCTTTAGTATAACGCCACACTTGATTTAGTGCCATTCTCGGATTCGAGAAGTTGCTGGTGCTAAATCGAGGTTCGACCGTACGAATAATAGTAATAATAATTAAAGATACATCTGGAAAAGTTTAATTTAATTGCCTTTTTCGAGCATAAACCTTCTTTGGTTGTTTATAAGAAACATTCGAAGTAATGAAAAATAAAGCAATTACACTAAAAACTTGAGTGCAATTTTTATGTTTTGGAACTCTTCTTGCAATCACTGTTATTTACTTTCGTGCAGATCCGAGTTAGCTAAGATTAGAAATGGTTATATTCTTGCCTGTATCGTCTGGTTTCTGTCATTTGTGGGGGATGCTCTTGGAAGTGAACTGGAGTATCAGTAGATGCCGGAACAGCTTGCTCCTGTACTTTAACATGCTGCATGTCAGGCAATTTAAGATTGCTGATGCTGTTCGACTTTCGTAGTGTAGATTTGAGAAATTTAGAAATCTCGAAAATTGAATCTTTTATTTATCTTTTTACTGTTCTTTCTTTTGCCAAGTTTAGAAGTTATTTATAGCTTTTTAAATTACTTTCAAACATCGATAAATTTTTAAAATGAATATTTATAGCCTATTTAACTAAATCGGCAATGACTTCTTTTTTCCTCTTGTTTATATTGATTATTCTTGAACATGTTTTTGCATTTTATCTAATTGATAAATCAGTTACGTGAATGATAAGGATCTTGATTATCAGTTGATTTAATTCCTAACGTATCCAGAGAAGATAAAAAGGGAATTTTTTAAAGATTATATCTACTCCTAGTTTAAGTACTAGAATATAAATTAGTGGTAAACAATGTAGATATGAATCGGCTGCCATTATCCTATGAATATCATAAATGATAAACAAGCAATTAGTACGTATTTACTATTAATTCACAGTATTTAAACTAATAATAAACGTTTTATAATACTGAATATGAATAATCTTTCATATCTTTATGTTCCTTCTTCGTGAAGAATCAATAAAATAATGCCTTCTAGTACCTCTCGTACTACAGTAGTACTTGAACTAATGAGTAAGTAGTAAGCAATTTAGATGAGTCAGAAGTTACATATTGTTATAATGAATGTGTTAATTAATGTATACAACTGTATGGTCTGTATTACTACTTAAACTAGTAGTAATGATACGAATATCTGCCATGTAATTTTGAAGAGAAAGATAATTTACAAGTCATCCTTCGCCTGTTTACATCGACTAATAAATGAACAATTAGTTATATTTACTACTAATTCATGTACTTTACTTGGTAAAGTAAGTAAACAACTTCGCATACTAAGATATTGAATATTTAAACAATATATAAGTGATCGTTAGGTCCAATAGCGCATAAATAATAAGTACAAGTTTACGTACAAGTAAACAATCCGGGTTATGAATCGATCGTAATCTATTATATGATATTGAATGTTTTAATAATATATAAGTAGATTTATTAAGAAATTAATGTATACGCCGTTATTGATTTAACTACATCTATAATGTTGCTTATCTACGAAGTTAATAACGAATTCTCTCAATGAAAAGCATTAAAAAATGACTTTAATTTTTGTCACGCTTCACGGATTCTGTTTTCGTGTTCAAAATGTTCCTCACACATCTACCATAATAGAAAAAAAAAAGAGACGGTCAGATTTTTATGACAAAACTACTACAATTCTTCTATTTAATAGAACGTTTACGGGTTGTGAAAGCGAAGAAAATGTATCATAAATCACAAAATGATATTTACACAATTCCATTTTATTTCATTAAATAAATATTTATCACGCGATTTTTTAAGTACCGTGTTTCGTTTTAATTATATTGTTTGTCGAAACAGTTAAAGAATTGTATTTTATTCGTATAATTAAAATACATTCTTTAATTAATCGGAAAACTTTCTGAAATAATCGCAATTATTAATGTTATTTTTGAGAATAATTGCTATTTTTATAATAATTTTTTTAGAATAATGGTGATTTTTTAAAAATAATTGCGATTTTTAGAATATTTCTTAGAATAATTCTTTAAAAATCACAATAATTAATTGTGTTTTCTTGAAAAATTTAATTAATTCCGATCTAAAAACTAATTTTAATTCCTATATTTATATTATTTAATTTAATAAAATAATATTTCATTGCAACTTTTAGAATTCATGAAATGATTAATAACTGAAATAAAATACATTTTCAATATACAAATAAATTGACTTTTATATTATT